CCCGTACTTGGACTTGATGACCCCCTTGAGGTGGTGGTAGACCTCGGCACCAATGCGCATGGCTTCCTTGAAAGAACTGGCTCCCACAGGCAGAATCATGAACTCCTGCATGGCCAGCTTGTTTCCAGCATGGGAGCCTCCATTGATCACATTGAAGGCCTGAGATGTGGAGAGGGTACTCAGACCTGGGGCACGAGGGATCAAGCTGGGCTGGGTATTCAAGATTGAACACTGGCTTCCCTACTTACTAGCTGAATTGTCTAGAATGAGTAATTTTCCTCCTTAGAGCCTTTTTTTTTTTTTCTTTTTTTGGTACCAGGGATTGAACTCAGGGGCACTCGACCACTGAGCCACAACCCCAGCGGCATGTTGTATTTTATTTAGAGACAGAGTTGCTTAGCACCTTGCTTTAGCTAAAGCTGGCTTTGAAATCCTGATCCTCCTGCCTCAGTCTCCCAAGCCCTTGGGATTATAGGCCTGTGCCACCATGCCCGGCATCAGAGCTGTTCCCCCTCCTTTCTAAAAAATGGGGATAACACTAATTTCCCTTTAGGATATTTTTTTTTCTTTCTTTTTTTTTTTCTTTTTTGGTATTATTGGGGATTGAACCCTTGGGTTCAAACTAGTGAATATTAGGCAAGTGCTCCACCAATGAGCCACATCCCCAGCCCTTTTTATTTCAGAGATGATGTCTTACTAAATTGACCAGGCCCTGATGATCCTCCTGCCTCAGCCACCCGTGTAACAGGGATTATAGGTGTATGCCACCATGCCTGGCCCTCTAGGATCTTTTCCTAAAAATTAGAGAAATTGAATATAAAATTCTTAATGTGTTTCTGATATATAAGAGTGAATACTCTTTATTTCACCCCTCTTGGGACTGAAACTGGGGCCTTGCACATGCTAAACAAATGCTCTATCACTGAGCTACATCCCCAGCTATTTTTATTTTTGAGACAGGGTCTCACTATGTTGACCAAACTGGCCCCAAACTTTTGATTCTCCTACCTCAGTCTCCTGAGTAGTTGGCTAAATAGCTGAAACTTTCATGGCACTGTTCTAAGAGCTTTACATAAATTAACTCAAAACCTTATTTACATGAATTCTCAAAACACCTCTATTAGCTGGGTACTACTATTACTTTCCACTTTATAGATGAGGAAACTGAGGCATAGAGAGGTTAAATAATTTGCCTAAAATCATACAACTAATAAATATGCAAAGCCAGGTTCCTCTCTGGAGTCCATACTCTTATACAATCTTCCTAATAAGTAACAGTAAATGGTAACATTATTATTGAGATTAAATTCAAAGGGTTTCCATTAAGAGGGCATTGGTTTAATAAGGACTTGAGAGATACAAAGAAAATGCCAAGTTCCTTGCCATGAAGAAGCTCTCTATCTAATGGGGGCTGGAGGAGCAAGGGTAAAATGAGGTCAGAGTTATGGAGCCTGGGATTGGAATGTGAAGGAACCAGGTTACACAGCCAGGAAAGGAAGCAGAGGGGCTTAGGGAATGTTTGGATTGTGGGAAAGGAGGGGCTAGAGCGCTAGCGCAGCTGAGGAGTTTGGATTTCAGGAAACCACTTCTTTGGAGCAGGATCCCAAAAGGTAGATTTTCCAAAGGCTGCTTAAGTACCCCTCCTTGGGTGGGGGCAGTTCTGACAACCTGGGATTTGGCAGTAGCTACCACACTCACAGGCACTGGGAGTACGAGGTCAGGGTTCCCTGCGAGATCTGCGATGTGTCGGTAAAGCGGGACGCCCTTCTCGGCTGCTCCAGCCTTACACACGGCCAAGGACACGCCCAGGATGGCATTGGCCCCAAATTTGGCTGAAAGGAAGAAAGTGGGAAAGAAGGATGAGAGCTTTCCCTGCAGGGTTTGGCATTATTTCCTTGAACATCCCCTTTGGTCATCCCAGAGAGAATCTAAAGCTCCAAACCGCTGAGCATTTAAAGTTTGTTAACAGATCTCTCCCCAGTGGCCTGAAGGAGCTCTGAGAGTCCCCACCCCAGGGGGATGTGTCAGCTTCGCATCTGTCCACAACCAGCCCAGGCTTGGCAGAGGACAGACCTCAGGAAATGCCTGTGGAATGAATAAAAAAGCCATCCAGCTCTGGTGTACCCCAGAATATGGGATGCAGAAAGAGCCCCAGCCAGACCTCAGCCTCTGGGGTCTGTCCACCCCTCTCACACCCCATTCCTTCCCCACCTCTGGCCTTTCACTCACACTTATTCTCAGTCCCATCCAGCTCAATCATAAATTTGTCAATTTTTTCTTGATCCACAACACTTAATTTCTGGAAAGACAGGTTTGAGGAGGAGAGGACAGAGGTCAGATTTTTTCAGGAGTCAGTGTATGTGCAGAAGGAAGGACAAATGAAAATATTTGGGGGAGAGGAGCTGCCTGGGTGAGGCTCAGGAGCACAGACAGGAGGGAAGGGGGAGCTGGCTTCAAAACTTGCCTTTTCCAGCAGAGCAGGACCCAGAGTCTTATTGATGTGCTCCACAGCCTTTAGTACTCCTAAAGGGCCGAAGGAGGGGGTTCAGAATTCTAAGTCAATCAGAGCGCTTCCCATGTACCCCATCTTCTTAAGGATTTTGGGTTCCAGTCCTCTATCCCTGTGTGCCCATGTCCTAAAAATACCCACACAGGTTCTTGCGTAGGCCTTAGCTTACCTTTCCCTAGATATCGTGATTTGTCTCCATCTCTCAGTTCCAGAGCTTCATAGATACCTGTAGAAGCTCCGCTGGGCACAGCTGCTCGGAATCGACCTGAGGCAAGAGGGATTGGAAGATCACAGAGTTCCACCCACCCTCTCACCCACCACAAAGGGCTGAGTTCTCTTCCCTGAGTCCAGGGAGAGGAGACATTGTGAGAGACTCCCTCTTCTCCCAGCTCCAGGGCCAAATTGGAAAAAGAGGGCCTGGGGAAAAGTCTGGGAAAGGGGACCCCAGAGAAAGAACGGGTTGTAGTATGGAGCTGGGAGACAAAGGGCACATGCGGTTGGAATCTTCAGAAGCAAATCAATTCGATGGGCCTGTGTTACCCTTGGCAGTGTACAGGTCCACCTCCACCGTGGGGTTACCCCTGGAGTCCAGGATTTCCCGGGCAAAGATTTTCTGCATGGCCATGGCTGCGCAAAAAGAGGTGAGTGTGGGCAGTTGATCCCTTGGGGAACCAGAAATCCCTTGCCCTTTAAGAGTCTTCCCCACCCCAAGAAGGCAGGTGCTGGAGCTAAAAATACCCCATAAAAAGGTCACAGACCAGAGATACAGGCACAGCCCCCTCCCCCACTCAGAACAGCTCCTATTGCACCTTCCCATCCCAAGAATTCAGGGGCCTCTGCCTTGTAACTCCTCAGATTGCACCACTCCCTGAGCCCCCACCTCCCCCCAAAGCTGCACTTGTGTCTCTCCTTCCTTCTTCTTCTCAAGTAATCTGTTCTCCATGACTTCCTAGTGAAACTGGAGTTTTCCTCTATTATTCTTATTTTTCTGCTCCCAAATCCTGGCAGGCCCCAAATTCTCTACCTGGCTCCAACTCTTAAACACACTTCTCTATTCATCCCTACTCTCTTCACAGCTTCCTTTCTCCATATCCTTGGATACTCCAGTGTTTGTGCCATACTGCCCCACCACTCTCTTTCAAGCTCTCCCCAGTCCCAAGAGAAAAAGAGATGAAATTTCCCCCACTTTCTCTAAAGGGGAACCACCCGCATCTCCACACCCTGGAGCTGTAAGTTTCACCAGACCTGGGATGTCTTCCTTGGGGCTTTGGATGGAGCTCCAAGTTAGATGGCAGCTGGGACAGTGTCAGCTCACCCCCTCTCAGGCTGGGCATTTATCCCCTGCCACCCTGTCCCCCAGCCAGCCCCGCCTCTCTCACTCCATCTTCCCTCCTCCACACTAGGCTGGCAGCCAAGTGCCCACTACTGCCTAAAGCAGCCTTTGGCCCTCGGAACCTGCCCCCTTCCCAAAGATTAATGACTACCTTTCCCGTTCTCTGTGTCCCCCAATAAAGTTCCTATTTTTAATTCCACCCCTTGAGAGGTGCAAAGGAGGGGATTCAGACTGGGGGGTCTCTCTTGTCCCCAGGATTATATTCCCCTTTTGCAAAGGTTAAAGAGAAACTAGTGCCCTTTAGGAAAGGCCAGGGGTAACCTGAACCCTGCAGGGCTGGGGAGGGGGCCTGGACGAGGGGCTGCAGGATTGACATTCACAGGAGCTCAGCTCATTCAGCGGGACTCCGCCCACAGCAGGGGGAAGGGACTGGAGATGGTGGGCAAGGTCTTAAGTGGAAACCCCCCACTCACACACAAGGCGAGAACGCCTCACCTTTTAGGGTCTTCATAAGGCGCCACCCCATCCTAACTCTCTCCTGGCCAGCGAAGGGGGGGGGTAAAGAAGGAGGCCGGTAGACGAATTTAGACTGGCCCTGAGAGCTGGCCCGGCGCCCCACTGATAGTGCTGGGACAGCATTTGTTGTCCAGTGCGGATCTTGTCGGTCAGGAACCCCTTTTCATATAGACTATGAGTGCTTCAACGCGAGGCCCCTTCAATGAATGGTGTTAAATCAGGAGTGAAAGAAATGAATGAACGGGAGAAGGGGGTGGCTCTTTGTAAGCATCTGGACGCCTGGGGCCGGTCCTACAGACTGCTTGCAGCACTACAGGAAGTTAGTCTCTGCACTTGGTAACTCCGCCTTGCCGGGTATCGGGGGAATGTGGGGTCTGCCCCAAGTTTTCCAGCAGCCGGGGTTGGTCGGCGGCGCGAATCACTGGGCGCCTTGCTCCAACTGAGAGGCCACACCCGCCGGCGCCCGATCGGCTGGGTCCGGGTGACTCACCTCGGCAGCCCTCTCCAGAGCTCTCCTCCCTGCCCTGCCTGCCCCGCGGGGTCAGCCTCCCCGCCCCCACCCCAGGAACCTTACCTACCCCCCATCTCCCATCTTGTCCCTCCCCGCTTATCTCGGGCCACTCCCTCCGGGATTTTTCCACCCTGGGGTGGAAGGTGCGCGGGTCAGAGTTCGGGAGATGGCGGGCGGGGAGGGCCGCCACGTGCCGGAGCGCTGCCCCGCCCTAGCCCGTCAGTGACTCAGCCACGCGGCTGTCGAGGAACACAAGTTCGGGGGTCGTCAGAATCCAGAGATTCGAGATGGATGCTAGGGGACCGCAGTCCGCCCTGAAAGAGAGAAACGGACCCTTGTCCCGCTCCGGAGGCGCGCCGAGGGTCCTCGGCGCCCCTCCCCAAGGGACCGGAAGCGGCCAAGCCCCTCAGCGGCGAGGGTTTTGGATGGGCTAAGTCGCCGAAGCGGCCAAGCCCCTCAGCAGCGAGGGTTTGGATGGGCTAAGTCGCCGAAGCCATCAGCATCTCCTTCACGTTTGGCGGCGAGCAACTGATCGCACACAAGTACTTTTTGGCATAAGTTTTATTGTAAAAGAATAACCCAATATGCCCCAAGTAGAAGGGATTTTCGTCTTAGTGAAAAAAGTTGCCATCCTTGGAACTTTAGTATTCTTCCGCTTTGAAAAATTAGTCCCTACCGTCTGGTCCCGCGGGCACCCGCACTCAGTGACCTAGGCAGAGACGGACCAAGGGGCACGGCCAGTGACCTGAACCGCTGGCTCAGGGACGGGCAGGGCTGGGACTTGGGGCGAGGCCCTGGGCTGAGCCGACCCAGGGAAGGGATAATCCCCTGGAGTGGGATGCTCTCGAATGAGACCTACCTGTGCTGGGGACAAGTGTCCCAGGTGGGCACTTTCAGCCCTTCTGAAAACGGCCTGGTATTTTGTCAAATTCCTTCTAGCTCGCATATTGCTTAAATAAGTAATATTAAGAGTGGAGAGGTGGCAGCGCGCACGCCTGCGCTCCCGCCCCTTCCGCCTGGCGGGAGACACGTACCCCGCCCGCCCGCCTTCCTTCCCAAGAAGGTCCCTATCCGTCTGGCCCGGCGCGCGCCCGCGCAGCCGGCCGCCAGCCCCAACTGCCCCACGCGCCATTCCTCCCTGCCCCGGCGCAGGCGCGGGCGCACGCGCCGCCGCCGCCCGCCGTTCCTTCCCTCCGGCGGAGGTGGGGGAAGGAGGAGTCGTTCTGTTTAACCCTGGGTTCSCCGAACTCGCTTTAATTTGCTCAATTTGCATTTTGCTAATTATTCCTCCTTTCTCTTTTACGTTCTCTGGCTCACCCCTTTCCCCTATACCAAAGTCTAGTTTGTAKTCAATGCCGACTGGGGCAAGACCTAATCTTATCCTTTCCCCCGCCACCCCCCACCCCCAGCCATTTTCATAGCTTTCCATCGAACTCTGCAAATTTTGCAATAGGGGGAGGGATTTTTAAAATTGCATTTGCAAAGTTCGGTATCTGGGCAGACGGGGGGAGGGAGAGAATGGGGAGCAGGCCCCGCCCCTACCGCCCTTTGCAAATAAAAATCCAGGGGGGGGGGGGAGGAGCAGGAAGTGGCGGTGCGAGGGCTGCTGCACAGCTAGCAGAGCTGCGGTCCGGACGGTAGCGCGTGCCCCGAGCTCTCCGCCTTCCCCCGCCCGCCAGTCCGAGGCAGCCCGAGCCCAGCCCGCGGCCCCAGCAGCAGCKCCGAGAGCAGTCCCAGCAGCAGCGCCATGGCCGGGTGGAACGCCTACATCGACAACCTCATGGCGGACGGGACCTGTCAGGACGCGGCCATCGTGGGCTACAAGGACTCGCCCTCCGTCTGGGCCGCCGTCCCCGGGAAAACCTTCGTCAACATTACGGTACTGCGAGGCTTGCGCGGTTCGGGACACTGACTGGCCTTGGATCCTGAGGAAGGGACTTGGGTGGGGGCGGGCGCGGTCTAGGAAGAGCAGCGAAAGGCCGTGACCCGGTGCCTTCCCTGGAAGCGGCGCGAATGGCGGCTGCACGTGAACAGGTCCCTCAGTGCCCCCCAGTCCTACGCCCCTGGCGGCGGCGCCCATCCCATTCGGCGCCCCGTTTTATGCGACGGGGCGTTACATCCGGGGCACACAGGGCGGGGAGGGGCGCGCCGCCCGGTGCGGCGGCCCACTTCCGCCTCTTATAGGGCGGGGCGGGCACGCGCTGCAATTTTAACCGGGGATTGTGATTGAGACGGGACTTGGAGACCCCCTGACTTTTTCAGACTGTGAACTCATGTCTCCTTCGCCATTGTTTCCCATTATGCGGGTGGGAGACCTGGCGCATGGCCTTCGGCCCATGCTTGTCCTCCGTGGGTTCCTTGCCCCTCCCAATCCCGTTAGAGAGGGCGAGGCCGCCACACACACCCCCAATTCGGCACGTTGGCCTCAACCTTCCTATGAGGCCAATCCCGGAAGTCCCCTCGTCCTCCCTTCCCGCCATCCGGCGGGGCCTATGGCAGGGGAACTTTATGAGAAGTTCTGAGGTGGTATAAGTCAAGGAATAAGGGATGACTACTGCTGTTTCCACCATCACTACGTCTTGGCCACACTGCCCGGAAGTGGGGAGGGGTAGCGGAAGTTCGAAAGGGGGGGAAGGGGATTTCCGGGCGGGAGGGGACCGGATATAGGAGTTTGGGGTTTAAGGGGGAGGAGGAGAAAGGTTCCCTGGGGTATCTAGACCCGAGAGTTGAGCTTGCCAGTTCTGTTTAACCACCCCCTTCAAAACTTTTCCTACTTCCCGGAAAGCCCCCAGAATCTGTTTCCTCATCTTGAGACATAGATACCTGGATCTAGACTCTTAGGTTATTTGGAGACCCAGGCGTCCGGGTTCCTAACATCTGCAGAACCTTTGACCAAATAAGGGCAAAGTTGCTTTCTCTTGCTTTGCCCGCCCCTTCCCTTCCCCTCTCCGCTTCTGCTTTTCCTGAAGGAGAGTTCTGAGCATCCAAAGGTTCCCCACTTTCCTTACTGGCTTTTGGTCCCCTTATATTTCCTGAATTTACTTTCCATATGAAAACACTGAGATCTGCTTCTCCAGAGGAATATGTTATCCCTTCATCCCTGGTCCCATTTAGAGGATTTGAGGATCATGCTCTTTTTCTGAAACAACTTTCCACAGTACTGAATTTCTGATTTCATTGACCAAGGTATAGTTCCCAAAGCAGTAGGAGGAGGTAGGTTTCTAGAGAACAAAGTGAAGAACTTGGTGCATTATCTTCATGGGTGCTCAATTCCTCTTCTAGCCAGCTGAGGTTGGTGTCCTGGTTGGCAAAGACCGGTCAAGTTTTTTCGTGAATGGGCTGACACTTGGGGGCCAGAAATGTTCTGTGATCCGGGACTCACTGCTGCAGGATGGGGAATTTACCRTGGATCTTCGTACCAAGAGCACCGGTGGAGCCCCCACCTTCAATGTCACTGTCACCATGACTGCCAAGAGTGAGTTTCTCTATTTTATCCTTCCTCTACATCTGAGATATACTTAATGTACCTCTTTCCATTCATCTTGGGGACTTTTTCTGTGTGACTTTATTTTGAAGAGGGTCCAACCAGTGTTCTACTCCCTGTCTGCTAGAAGCCTGGATAGTCCCTCTAGTTCCAGTTCTGTCTCAGTTCCTCATCTTATGAAGAAGTTGAACTTCATTGCCTTTTTTTTTTCTTTCTGTACTGAGGATTGGACCCTGGGGTGCTTTACCACTCAGTTGCATCCCAAGTTCTCTTGACTTTGAGACAGTGTTGCTAAGTTGCCCAGGCTGGCCTCAAACTTGCAATCCTCCTGCCTCAGCCTCCCAAATTGCTGGGATCACAGGCATATGCCACTGCCTATGTTACCTTTTTAGTTCTTTCTTGCCTTGAGCTTTTTTAAAGTGGAAACTCGTTTTATTGGAGTAGGTAGATTGTTTGGGTCCTAAGCCAGCATTTAGTTCTGATCTTTTCAGCTCTTCCTTAGTCACTTCTGGCCTGAACACAGGAGCCTAGAGTCTTGAGCTTTGACCCCTAAATTTTAGTTTGTTCCTCTCTAGCCTTTAAGCTTGATTTTTCTCCTTTGAAAAGCCCTATTGTTTCAGGTTGACTGACAGCCTGCCTGTGTGTGGGGGGTTGGGAGGGATGAGGTTGGGTTACAGCCCCCAGGGCTGGACAGCTGCTGAACAGCTGGCAGAGGGGGTGGAATTGTGACACCTGGGTCCTAGCCTTAGCCTCCTCTCTCTTTCCTCCAGCGCTAGTCCTGCTGATGGGCAAAGAAGGTGTCCACGGTGGTTTGATCAACAAGAAATGTTATGAAATGGCTTCCCACCTGCGGCATGCCCAGTACTGACCTCTTCTGTCCCTTCCCTCACCACTCCCCACAGCTTTTGCACCCCCTCCTTCCCATACACAGACACCATTTTTATTTTTTGGGCCATTACCCCATATCCCTTATTGCTGCCAAAACCACGGGCTGGGGCTGGGGCCGGGGCCGGGGCTGGATGGAAAGATACCTCCCCCTTACCCATACTCCTCCTGTGTGTGGTTGGAAAAAAATTTTTCTCATTTTTTTTGTGTTTTGGATTTTTTTTTTTTTTTTGGTTTTGTTTTTTTCTGAATAAAAAAGATTCTACTAACAAGATGCTGTATGATTTGAGTTTAGGTATCAGAAGAGGGGACAAGCACTGTGACCTGCCTACTTGAACCTTGCTCAGGGTTGGGAACAGGATTGAGGCACTATTAAGTCCAGGTATTTGAGCTTTCTGCTCTTTATACCCCCATGTCCAGGCCTTTCTACCTGCCTCAGGTATACCTCTCCAGGTGGCCTGTCTTCTCCACAGTGGTATTTCCAGGCCTAGGTCCTCAAGCGCATGCTAGTTGAATTGGTAGATAATGGAATAAAGCCATTCAGACCAGAGAATGGGTCCAAGCCTGCAGGGCAAGGCAAGGCCAGTTAGTTGAGTCATCCTCTTATGTAGGTGGGGCTCCCCCCTCTGAGTCACAGCAAATGCTTGTTGGGGCTGTCCCCATGACTACAGGTTAGTCTGTTCCAATGTTCCCCTGTCCCTTTATAGCAGAAAAAAAGCATAAAAAATTAACCTGTATGGGGGCTGATAAGAGTGCTTACCTAGCAAGCACAAAGCCCTGGATTCAATCCCTAGCACCTCAGGGTGGGAAAAAAGATTAACCTGAGTGAAAATGACCTTCCCCTTTCTTAGTCCACAAAAACAATTTTATTAACCCATGTGAAGACCCAAATCCCCTCTGACCCTCCCCAATACACAACCCCTCAGAAGGATGGGGCCATTTCCAGCCTAGGTTTCTCCCTTATCAGAATTTAGAAGACTGGAGGAAGAGGGCCTGTGCAAATAGGTCACCAGAAATGCCAAGTGTTAGGGAAGTATTAGACAAGTATGGCGGAGGAAGAGGAGGAGGAGGAAGGAGAAGGTGGGGGATCTGTTGAGGGTCCAGGAAAAACAAGGGGGGCTGGAGCTAGGGAGCCAAAAGAAGTAGGAAGAGTGGGGCTAGAACTCAGGAGTGGGGTCCGTTCTGAGGCAGGGTGGTCCCTTGGCTCCCCCTCCTCATCCCCTTCTTCATGCCGCCGAGTCTCTTCCTCTTCCTCGTCCCCAGGACCCCGATGAACAGGCTGCTTGCAGATGGGGCAGGTCTTGCGGGTCTGAGTGAGCCAGGGGTCCACACAGCGGCTGTGATAGGCTATGGAGAGGAATGAGTTGAGGTACCCTACCTGGTGCCTTGGTAGTAGTGGTGGGGGCTTTGCACACAGGCAGTGAGGGCCTTACCATGGGCACAGGGGAGTACCCGAAGCTTGTCCCCATCTTCATATTCATCCAGGCAAATGGCACAGACATCATACTGGTCTCCTGAAGTAGAAAAAGGAATCTAGTCCTTAACTAAGCCATTCTGAACTGGGCTCACAAGAACTCTTGAAGGCCTGTGGTAGATCTAAGCTCTTCAAAAAAGTGTTCCCTAATTCTACAGACAGTGGAAGAGCTAAGCAGAATAAAGGCCAGGGTAGAACAAAAGCTTTCGGGGTGGAGGGGATAAGCACAGAGACAGGAAGTGGGTTTAGGGGGAGGTGATATGAGGGTGGAGAGATGGAGTGGGAGGAGTAGAAACGGGCAGGACTTCTGCTATAGCCTTATATGGGCACTGAGGGCTCTAAGGCCTTAATACTCAACCCTACCAGTTTCTTCTGACTGAATCCTCACCACTTTACATTCTCTGCCCTCACTTCCTCTTACTTGTTAAGGTATGTCATTCCATGTTTCCACCTATTCCACTTTAGTCCTCTATGGTTTCCATTTCATGCTCTTACTTCCCTCTCCTGTCTTCATCATATTTGGCAGTAAAGAGGATAACATCTCAGGTTGGCACCTTCTTACTGCCATCTTTGTACCCCTTATCTACTGGTATCTAACTCCTTCAGAAACCAAGTAAGCTATGGGCAAGGCCCTTCCCTCCCCTATATCCTCACCCTTCTGATAGTCATGGGTAGGAATCTGTTTCAGTTGCTCTTTGGTAAGTCGATTCCGCTGGAGCCTTTTCCGGTGCTGGATACAACGAACTATCTGGGGGAAAGGGGAGTGGATGGATCAGGCTTATGGAACAAACTGAACAGTGGGGGCTGGGGTTGTAGCTCAGTGGTAGAGAGCTTGTAGGTATTATGTTCACCTACAACTAAAAAAAAAAAAAMAAAACAAAACAGCTATTCCTTTCAAATTCTGAGGTACTCACCATTAGTGCTCCCATAGCCAAAACCAGCAGTCCTACAATCCCAGTGAAAGGAATAAGGTAATAGCCCAAGGGGAAGCTATTATCTGGAACAAGAAGCACCTGAGCCCTGAGGAAAGGAAGATCAGTCTCAGAAGCAAGAAAAGCAAATGAACAAAGGATAGACTGGGTAACTGGCTCTGAACTATACCCAAATTGGGGAAAGGAATGGGCAGGGGAGAAAGAACCTAAGGGTGAGTGGTTGGGGCAGTGAGACCTGGACTGGGCTCCAGGTTGGCATGGAACTGCTGAAGGAAGGAGGCACATGTCCTACCCTTTCTCGTAGACAAAGAGGGCACGCAGGTACTTGGCGCTCCTCTCCCCAATAAACACAGATGGGATCCATATCTGCTGCTGGATTTCCTCTGCAGGGATCAGGGTGTTACACTGGGAACTCGACCTTCCACTCTAATAAATACTTTGGGAGCCTTGGCATTTGCCCCATCCCACCCAAAGGATTGGCTTCTTTTCCCTAAGCCTTCAGCCCTCCCACTATCTCTTAAGTCTGAGTTCTATTGAAAAATTAGTTCTCCACATTCTCCAAACTTACCACTATTCCACACCATGTTCAACAGTTCATTGGAATTCACATTGTGTACCACAGCTGCACCATACCCAGCCTTCTGAGCATTTAGGACCTACAAAGACAAGGCAGAAGATAAGAAAGCATCATGGACCTTGCCATTGTTCCTGGCTCTCTTGTTTTTTACCCTCAGCTTCCCAGATCCCACTCCACATTCAGCAACCTTGAGGTCAAAGTTGCAGTCGAATCTTCGAAGCAGTGCAATAAAGACTGACCCGTTGACCGGGGCTGAGGGTGGTGGGGCAATGGGGCTGCAGGCATTTTCTGGGTGAGCCTCCACAAGGAACCCCTGGGACACAGAAGCAAAAACAGTTGGACTTCTCCCTAGGTTCTGCTTCCCACAGAGCTCCCAAGTAGATTGGCCCTGGCATGCTACATATTCTCTCTCACTTCCTTCTCATCCCTGGGGTCTGAGCATCCCACCCAAGCCAGAAGCCTACATCTTTTTATCCTTCAAAAGATGCAATTAAAACAAACCACATCTCTTTTCAAGACCTCATTTTCCCTCTTCATTTCTTAGATGGGCTAGTCTGTACCCCATTCTGCAACCTAATTCTATTCTGCTTTCCAGTTCCCCACTAACTAAACTTTATGTACACATAACACATTTGCCTGCCTACAAATTTCCAATTATGCATTTCACACAACTACTGATATCTATTGCCCAAGTTCTTGCAGTTTTGCCATGAAGTACCACAGAACTGCTTTCTCACCGTACCCTTAGGGTAACTTCTATTATCCTATTTTACCTTAAAATAAATTAAGCCTCAGATGATTAGCTTGTCCATGTCTATACAACCAATAGCTGGCTCCAGAGATCCTATTGATAAGTGCCACTTCCTCCTGTTTTTCATCTTAGTCCACTTTCAGTCTCCCTCATAAGCTCGAGTTCCATGGATAGGCACTCAGCCTTCAACCTCCAGATTCTGGATTCCACACCAGATGCATACATGAAATTAGTTCCTGACTCTTCCTACCTCCAGCTTCACCAAGGGCATGGTTCCTCAACCCCCACCCAGGACAAGATATGGGAATATAGAAAAATGGAAAGAAAGTCACCTGGAGTCCCTCTTGACTCAGAGTGGCCCCAAACAGAGCTGGGAGGTCTGCAAAGTCCATGCTGGCATTGTGCTCCGAAGTCTGTGGACAAAAAAAGCCCATGTTCCTCAGCCTGCAATCTGTCCCCTCAGCGCCCTTCCCCCACCCGACCCTCGGACTCACCGCTCGAATGAGCCCCCGAATGGGGGTTGCTCCCCACAACACAGTAGCCACAACCACAGGAAGCGGGAAGGCCACAGAGTGCATGGCAGCGGGCGAAGAAAGGTTGAGGAAGTCGCGTCCTTGTAGAAGGGGCAGAGCGTATTTCTGCGCCCTCCTAACCCCTTCAGGATCCCAGGGGTCCAACCACCCCCAGGTCCCACTTCTCAGCTACATGGGGTCGCCGGGGAAAGAACCCCGACTCGGGGAGTGAGCTATCCAACTCGTTTAGTGGAGTTAAGGAAGATACAAAATGTATCCTTTTTTGGTATAGAGATAAAACGGATAAAGGGACCAGAAGTAAGCACAGATGACAGAAACACTTCTAGAAGGGCGGGGGAGCTCAAGGAGGTGAGACTTCCGGCCAGGTGGGCCTTCTTCCTGTCCCTCGGAAAAGGACTTCCGGTAAAGAAAGGCCGCTTCCAACACTGGATGCTCAAGATGAAGGACTTCCGGTCCTAAAAGGCCAGTTAAAGGAAAAGTTAGGGATGGAAAGAATGCCTGAGTAGATACAGGGAACACCAAATCCTAGAAGACGATCTAATCGGTTCCTTTTAGTGCCCGTAAACCCCCCTTGTGTTGCCCTGTTTACAAACCTCTCATCCCTCGGGCAGCCGCCGACGTACCTGCAAGTCTCGCGAGAGTGACCACCCACCTCCGCCCCGCCACTGAAATCTTTCTTTATCGCGAGAGACCTCCGTACTCTGGCTAGCCTGACTCGCTCTCGCGAGACTTCCAAACAAATTCCTCTCCAGTTTCCCGCGATTCTAATTCGGTGAAAGCTGCGCCTATAATCTGGTTTCCTAAAATAGCCACACCCCTTCCCGCACGCATCCCTCAAGCTCCCCCTTCATCTCCGCCTTACTCCCGGCCGCCTTTGCGCTGAACGTCTGCGCCAGCGCCGGCTTCCAGCTGGTGCTGGTGCTGGACTTGAGAGCCAGAGGGGCGTGCGCGCGCCCTCGCCCTGTTGCGCGCTCGGTGTCACCTTGGGCGCGAGCGGGGCCGCGCGCGCGCACGGGACCCGGAGCTGAGGGCCATTCAGTGACGATGGCGGCGACGGCGAGCCCCGGGGCCGGCGGGATGGACGGGAAGCCCCGTACCTCCCCTAAGTCCGTCAAGTTCCTGTTTGGGGGCCTGGCCGGGTAAGCTCAGGCCCCACGGATGGGAAAGGAGGAGGAAGGGACGGGCGCAAGGACTGGGCCCGGTTTCTCTCTGGGTCTTTTACAGTGAACTGAGCCAGCACGGGGTCAGCGTGCTCACCAGTGGTTTGTGAGGTCTTTTATGGGCTGCCAAGATCTTTTCACCCATTGCAGGACCCCTAATGGACTGCATGCGGGGTCATTGCACGACCTTTGCCAAGCCACCTGAGTTTCCTAGCTTACTGCTTGGCTCTGCCTAGCTGAATGGGGTTCCAGGTCATTAAGTGATTCCCTGAAGGACTGCTTGGAGTCCCAGATCATGGATGTCCCCCTCCTCCCTTCCCTGGGTCGAACTGCATTTCGTCCCCTCATTGCTTGACTCGCATGGAGCTGCCTGGACCACTTTCATTGCATGGCTCCTGGTGGACACCTATAATTTCCAGACACATTGCTCTTACATGCCCAACATGTCCAACAGCCTCCTGAGTCCTTACTCACATGACAGGCCCTGACCTTTGTAACTTCTTGCCACCAGGCTCCAGTAGGCATTAGTAGATCTGGAACTCCTGACCCTTAATTACACTCCTGCCTTCCCCCAGGATGGGAGCTACAGTTTTTGTTCAACCCCTGGACCTAGTGAAGAACCGGATGCAACTGAGCGGAGAAGGGGCCAAAACAAGAGAGTACAAAACCAGCTTCCATGCTCTCACCAGCATCCTGAAGGCAGAAGGGTTGAAGGGCATTTACACTGGGTACTGGCCTCAGACTGGGGAGAAGGGTATGGGTTGGCAGGTCTAGATCTTTTCCTGATGCGCTGACCCCTTTGCTCCTCAGTCTGTCAGCTGGTCTCCTGCGACAGGCCACCTACACCACTACTCGCCTTGGCATTTATACCGTGCTTTTTGAGCGCCTGACTGGGGCTGATGGTACACCCCCTGGTTTTCTGCTGAAGGCCCTGATTGGCATGACTGCAGGTGCAACTGGTGCCTTTGTGGGAACACCAGCTGAGGTGGCTCTTATCCGTATGACTGCTGATGGTCGGTGAGTTACAGGACTGAACCCAACTCAAGTCCCATTCTTGGAATCTGGAATGAAAGTACCAGTTTTTTAAACCCAGACCTAGAGCAGAATGTTTACGTACTCTTGCTCCCATTTTTTGCTCATGTGGGCAGTGTGGACTGTCCTGATCTTGGGCTCTCCCTACTCTTTCTCCAGGCTTCCAGCTGATCAACGTCGTGGCTATAAAAACGTGTTTAATGCCCTGATTCGAATTGCCCGGGAAGAGGGAGTCCCCACTCTGTGGCGGGTGAGGAAAGTCTCTGGAGACTTAGGGCTTGTAGGTTCTGGTCCCTAGTATTTCTGACTCTTCCTTCACTCTCCCACTTTCAGGGCTGTATTCCTACCATGGCTCGGGCTGTTGTTGTCAATGCTGCCCAGCTTGCCTCCTATTCCCAATCTAAGCAGTTCTTACTGGACTCAGGTAAGAACCAGATCTGGGCCCTTAACTCCCAGCCTGGCCAGATTGCTCCAAACTGACTATCACCTCCTGCTTTACTCTCCAGGCTACTTCTCTGACAATATCCTATGCCACTTTTGTGCCAGTATGATCAGTGGCCTTGTTACCACTGCCGCCTCTATGCCCGTGGACATTGTCAAGACCCGGTAAGTGTGCAGGCCTGGCTTGGATAGGTGTTGGAGGCCCCCCTTTCTGTCTCTTATGCCCTTGCTTCTCTCCTCTGTCTCTCTCTCTCTCTCCCCACCCCCACAGTACTGGGGTTTTAACCCAGGGCCTTGTGCATGCTAGACAAGTGCTCTACCACTGAGTTACATCCCCCATCTCTGCTTCCTTTCTTTCAGGATCCAGAACATGAGAATGATTGATGGGAAGCCAGAATACAAGAATGGGCTGGTGAGAAAGCAGGACTGGGGGCTTGAGTCATAGTGTCAGATGCCCTGGGAGGGTTATGACAGTAGCTGGGTAGGGGACAGGGTCCCAAGTCCACGTCCTAGCTCTGTTACCCTGCGTGTCTGTCTTTCTGTCTAGGATGTGCTGATAAAGGTTGTTCGCTATGAGGGATTCTTCAGCCTATGGAAGGGCTTCACGCCATACTATGCCCGCCTGGGTCCCCACACTGTCCTCACCTTCATCTTCTTGGAGCAGATGAACAAGGCCTACAAACGTCTCTTCCTCAGTGGCTGAGGGGGCAGGATACCTGGAGCCAATGTGCCGGGGCTCCCAGTCATCCATTGTTCTTACAGTCACTGCATCCCAGGGAGCCTGGACTCTGCTGCTCTGGGCCCCTCTATTTATTTCCCCTCCACAGTTTGGTTTCCTCCTTGTGTTAAAGGACTTTGATCTGTTCTACCCTCTGCTCCAGTTTGCCCTGCCTGGCCTAATTCTTATGACCACTCTGTCAGTGGCTGTTCCTTGGGGGAACTGGGAAACTCGAAGATTTCTAGATTTCCCTTAGGTGTTAGTTTTAGGACACAGAGGACAGTAGAAAATCCCCCTTCTGTGGGGAAACCAAGGCAGAGCAGAGGAGACAGAAGAAAGAAGAAGCTATCAAGATGGTGGAAAGGTCTGCAGTGGGAGGCTGTGGCCCTTCCTCCCCTCACTGAGGACTTAATAAATTGGATTGATGACACCACCCCCAAATCTGGAGAGTTGTGGGGATGAACAGGGGAGGAGTCTGGACAAAGAAGTTGATACCCCTGGAGAACAGGAACTGGAGTTTTTAAGAAAAACTATTAAAGACAAGGCATCTGCAGGTTTTATGCAAATGCTGTGTAGGTCAGTTATGGTATAGTAACATAGGGCAGAAACCCAAACTCCAGGCCTTGTATGTTGCTTCCCAGCTGCTTGCTCAGGAATGCAGCAGATGCATAAATCATCTCACATTAATCCCTAGGAAAAGCCTCTGGGATCTGGTGACTGCTTTTGTAGCCTTAAGAGGGAGGGGCTAAAAAATCATATTTTTGTGAATTGGGGTGAGGGCTAGGGGGCAGGGATTGTGGGGTTGGACAATAGAGCTGATCCAAAGTTTAAAAAGGATTTTGGCCAGAGACCAGCTCTGGTTGAGGAGAGTGACTGCCTCATCCACTTATTGAGAATTGTGGTTGCTAGGCCTTGCTTTCAAGGAGCCTACAAATCTCTTGGAACATAAAGGGGCATGGGAAGGTCATACTGGGAGAAGTGCTAGGCTGTGTGCCAGGCCTTGGGATGGGCAGACAGCAGGTGAGAGCTGTCCCCTTGGCAGAGCCTTGCCAATGGAACAAGAAATGAAACTCGGCATCCTGACACCTTAGCTGCTGCCTCCCTTCTTACCCACCATGCACACCGTGTCCTGGAGCATTGTGGCTACTTTGAGACACTTAAAGACTGGATCTTGTCCTTAAGGCACTTCAAGTCCAGCAAGGAAATGACAGGAACCGGGTACAGTAGTGTGCTGCTGCATCTGTTATCCCAGCAGTTCCAGGGGCTGATGAAGGATTGCCAAGTTTGCAACTTAGCGAGGTCCTGTCTCAATAAATAAATAAATAAATAAAGCTGGGGATGTGGCCCGATGGTTAAGCACCCTCCCTACCAACTATTTCTGAGGCTGCAGTAGTAAGCAGATAACCCCTTTTGCCCCGAGGGTTGCAGGCTACCAGTGGCTAGGCTTCAGCAGTGTCCCTCAACTCCAGGGCGACTTGACTATTCTGTTCTGGAGTTTCTGCTTGAGGTGGCTGGTGGGTGGCCACTCCTGCAGTAGAGAAAGTGCCAGCTGTGACTGAAGGTTTGTTGGATAAGTAGTTGGGACCAGGGTGGGGGAAGTTGAGACCTTGGGAATTATTTTAACAAGCCCCTCAACCACTTTGGTTCCAAAAGAAACTACATTTTCTTTTTTTATTTTATTTTTTTATTCTACAAATAACGTACAATGATGGTTGAGAAGTATAAAACACTAAGCAGAGGGGGGATCCATATTTATGATACTCAGAGATAATCAGTGCTCTCATCTTGATAAATCTTCACAAATTTTCTTCTATGTAAGGATGCCTGTAGGAGCCATGCAGTATTCTGTTTATCTGCTTTTCCTTACATTTCCCCAAGCTAACCATGTGGCCTGACAACACCCCATTAACCCAGGGAGCTTGGTTCTGTGACCCTCACAACTTCATCATCTCACTACCCCTCTTGATTTGTACAGTCTGGAGTTGAATGTCTGGATATGAAGAGGAGGCTTCAAATAAAGGAACAGTAATTAAGTCCTCCCTGTGATGCTGTGGGCCTTACCCTCAGCCAAATTCCAATAGGAGAGACCATCAGACACTCAAGGTCCCCTGAACCACCCACCTTCAGAGGCTGTGGCCAGCATACCTAATGCTCACTGTTCCCAGCAAGTCCTGACCACGACCCTGACTCAAGGCTGAGGGCCGCCGTCCTGATATCAGAGGCCCTATGCGACCGTTAGCCCGTACCCACAGAAAGAGGCTAGAACGGAAAGTGGGGAGTGATCCTTGAAGGAAGAGCAGCCAGGCCCGAGGCACAGTCACTTG